ACATATAAAAGGTACATAAAATACTATTACACATTGTCGAAAATATGAAAAATACAAATATACCTATGCAATAGGCAATAAGACAATATATCTACACTGAAAATAAATGCATTTTTCCTTTGTGAAAACATTTCAAGACGCATATAAAATAAATGCAGCATGACTGTAGGTAAAAATTTAATTTTTGGAATATGTTTGCTATTTTTTCCTTTTCTATTCAATGCCAAACATTGTAAATAGCTAATTATTATGATATAAATGACTATTACCAAATTCAAGTCATAAAGGGCAACATTGGAACAAAAAATGATGTTAAAAATAAATAAATAAAAATATTACATCAAAAAATATTTAAAAAGAAATGTAATCTTATGTGGCACCAAAAGTCAAAAGACTTGGATGAAAGTCACCAAATTCGAGGATTAAACCCAACTCCTCAAAGGGAATTTGGATCTATATAAACTCTTCTAAAATTATTTTCGGGAGCTCCTTCACCCCATATATATATATATATATATATAATTAGGGCTGTTGGGCCCCACCTATGCAAAATCATTTGGACTATCTATTGTACATATAAAATCTTGGTTTCATAACAATCAATCTTCAATTAAGGGTACTGAACCCCATAACGATGATTTGCTCTCTCTCTCTCTCTCTCTCTTGCATATATATTGCTGCTCCTGTAGGGGATTGTATCTTTTCGACTTAACATTGTGTTTGTTTATATAGTTCTACTTTACAATTGGTGTTACTTCAGTGGTTGGGGGTCCTTCCCTCCTCACTCTATGGAACCAGTTCGAAACCCACCAAGTGTGAAATGGTTTTAATGGAGTGAGTCAACATATTTCGCATTAGAATGTTTTTCCCCTTTAATATTTAATTGAAAAAAATCTCGAAAACAGATAGTCCATGTGATCACCATGACGTACATATGCCTGAAATTATTGAAGAAATATGGAATCTAGTGCACGGACTACCATTCGTGCATTCTCATTCCCACAAATGAGTAACTCACGAACTGAAGAATCCTTTGTAGATCCCAGAGGAATAAATGGAGGATTCCAGATTTTCACGTGGCCTAACCAACACTTTTTCATTCAAGTGAAAAAAGGGGTAGCAATTGGATCAGCAATTACGTAATCATATGTTATTATATTTGGCTTATCGATAAGTGATTTGACTTATATGCTTTCAAGCTCCCACATCATTTGGTTTTCATGATTAAATTAATGACATCTTTTCAGAGCTTCTTCAGTTCATGGGCGCAAAAAACAAAAACCCCACCACCGAACTCGCTGCCTCGAGCCTAGAGCTAGACCCTATTACCAATGATTATTTGGCTGGACAAATTCAAGATACATGATCAAGAGTCCCACCAATCGTCATTAGCCCAACTCCAGAAAACCCTTATAGTAATCGAGATGGGTTTCAGTATTGTGTTACAGGACAATTCTCCTTTGGCAACAAAAATACAAACCGCAATTCGCATTATAATTGCAATGCATTGTATACCCATCTCCATCAGGGGCCCGACAAATGCAAAAAAGCTAACGTACGTACTCGTTACGGAGTTTTGTTTTTAACCGTCCGATGGCTTTTATAGGGTCTAGATTTAAAACAAACTTATATTTTTATGTATTTATATTTTTATTATAAACGTGTAGTCCTCACAATAATGTACTCTAATCTTTTTAATTTTTTGCAATTTGGTTTCGGCGATAATTAACTTCACTGTCAAAATTTACATTAATTATCACATGGCAGGCTTCAGTCCCACCTACTTGCTTCTTTTGATGTCAATTGAAAGTGTATTTTTAGGGAATTGAACCGGAAAGCCTAAGTCTTGTGTTTAAATCTCTCTCTCTCTCTTTATTTGTTTTAAAAAATATGTTAAAATTAGGGCTAGGCAATTGAACTGGAAAGCCATCCAAATCAGATGAATCAAACTGATAAGTTTTTTTCAGCCTGATTTCTTTTTTTATTTTTTAAAATGTCGATTGAAAACCAAACTGGACTAATCAGCTGAATACGATTTCATGTTTGCAAATATCTAAAACTAAATGAATGAATGAATGTTCAAAAAAAAAAAAAAAAAAAAAAAAAAAAAAAAAAAAACTTAACAAAAAGTTGGAAATGCATGAATTTTCAAACCCCCGACCTGCAACTTGGAGTGCCCACACCGCACCACTACTGTAGTATGTTTGGTCCATACTAAACTTGTTTGGTTTAAGGTCTCTCTCTTTTTGTTGGGAGGAGAGAGAGAGAGAGATCCCAATTCAGGAAAAAAAAATTAAAAAGAGGGAGAGATTACTTTTTGTTGTGGGAAGAGAGAGAGAGAGAGAGAGAGAGAGAGAGAAGGATCCCAGTTCAGGAAAAAAAAAAAATTTAAGAGGGAGAGATTACTTTTCGTTGGGGGGAGGAGAGACATAGAGACAAACAGAAGCCAGCTCCTTTGTCCCGGGGCAAAGATAAGAAATAAAACAACTTTAGTATATTAGAAGAAAGTGTTGTGATAATTTCAGCTCCCATGTGTTCAAGATTCGTCTGTTCAAACGTTGACAATACAAGGCGGTATCTGTTTCAGTTTCAGTACAACATTTCAATTTACAATTCCTATATCCGTTTTTCTAAATTCAACCTGCTACTAAGAAAATATAAAAGCCTATAATTTCTAACATTTTATGAATACTTTTTTCTTGTGACGAGTAAAGAAGGGGAGATTCAAATTTAGTACATCTTCCGAAAATCTAATTGTAAAAACGTATTTCGGTTCATTAATTGAAAATAGTAAGATCAACTATTGAAACAATGAGAAACAAATTATAGAAGAATATGGCTAGTAATAGAATCTCATAAAAGTAATAAACAAACAAATTATAGAAGAAAATACAGTGGGCTTTAATTTAAATGTGGGGATGAGCTAAATTTATATTTTTGGGGTAAATGAATGAGCTAAATTTTTGTATTGCCCGCATGTTAGGAAGTACCAACTTTTTCTTTCCAAAGCATGCACTTGGCCACCTTCATGTCATGTATTTGGCTGACTTTGCATGGGAACAGTCAAAACTTAAACGTGGCATTCTTGTCGTTTAGTTCGGAGGGGGGTGTCTGCCTGCCAGCGCTCGTGACGAATATATTCAACTTACAATCAAATATTTGAAAATTACGAATGGAATCTAATCCGCTAAATTACCGAAATCGATTGAGATTGTATTAGATTAGATCTTTTACACCTCTAATTGGATATGTCATTTAGGAACAAAAAATTGGGTTCAAATTTTTTTTATTTTATGAATTGTCGATGATTGGTTAGAGGGAGTCTCAACCAAAAGAAACAAAGTGTTTCATATGCTATTAATAGGAAGAATGAATTATAATTAAGGGAGTTAATGACAAGATTAAAAATAAATATAAAGGTAAATGATGTGTATTGTAATTTAGTTAATACTATGACAAATATATTTTACATGACAACTTAATTTAAATTTGAGTTTTAAGTAAAGATTTAAAAATAGGTGAACATGTGTCTTGTAAGGGTCTACATTGAAACAATTTTTTGGACATATGTCTAGTAGAGCAATTAATCCGACCAAAGTGCTTAAAGGCTGAACTAAACACATAAAAATATGATAATATCCATTTTCTTCTTTGGGGTTATTGATCCCAATAGTCCCCCAATTATTGCTCTAGTATCATTTTGGTTCACTAACTAAATTTTTTCATTTGAACTGTTCAACTTTTTTTTTTTTTTTTTTTTTTTTTTTTTTTTTTTTTTCAAGATGGTCCTACTGTTAAAATCTGTTAAAATATTCTGTTAAATTTGAGTGAAAAAAAAGTAAAATATTATTTAAAAAAGAGTTAATGACTGAAATGATCCCTCAACTATTGCTCCAGTATCATTTTGATCCACAAATTAAAATTTTCATTTGAACCGTCCTTCATTTTTTTTTTGGTATCAAGATGGTCCTACTGTCAAAGTCTGTCAATTTTATTGTTATTTATTTTTGTATTTATCTTTTTTTAATTTTTTTAAAATTAATTTAAACAATAGAGAAAAAAACTATTACTTTTTAAGTCCATGTCAATTTTTTCAATTTTAAAATTAGGTACAAGTTCCTATAATAGTTTCCTTTAATTTTTAATTATTGTTTACTCTTTTAAAAAATTTGTTATTTTATATTTATATTTATGTGATTTTAATTAATTTAAACAATAGAGAATTTTATTATTATTAATTTTCAATTATATATCACTATTTTAATTCATAAAGACATTTTTAGCCCTCAATTTAACAATAAAATTGACAGACTTTAACAATATGACCATCTTGATACCCAAAAAAATAGAGTTGAAGAACGGTTCGAATGAAAATGTTAGTTGGTGAACTTAAATGATACTGAAGTAATAGTTGGGAGATTGGGATCAATAACCCTTTAAGAGGAGGACACTCACCTAAAAATACAGTTTTGTCCCTCGATTTCATGGAATAATACACATACTTTGAAGGATAGATCATCTTGGTACAAAATAAAAAGTTTAAGGACATTTCAAATGAAAATTTTAGTTGATGAACTAAAATGATATTAGAGCAATAGTTAGAGGATAATTTAGGTTATTAACCCTTGGATACCACGTGAAATCCAGTCTAGTCCTCTGCATACGCGGCCTAACCCTCCGAACTAAACGACAAGAATGCCATGTTTAAGTTTCTACATTACTGGTACAATCAATTCTATACTATTTTAATGTCCAACTTGGTAACCATGAGCAGAGAAAATGACCACCAGCTCCCAAAAAACGAAGAGTGCTCTCTCTCTCTCTCTCTCTCTCTATATATATATATATACATGTATATATGCATCTCATGCCAATATTATTATGAACTCGGAGTCTTTCTGTTCAAAGATCTCAACATAAGCAGCTAGCTACTTCCGTACGGAGCTTGTCAGTTTTAGTTTGGTGCTCAAACTTTGTAAAAAGAGGCCGGCGGGAGAAAAATGGAGCGTTGTGAAAAAGAGTTATCGCCCTCTGATGTCAGTCAAAGACTAGCAGTGACGAAGGGGATGCTAGAATTTCTGCCCCCTATAGATCCAGAGCATGATGTCCCAGTCAGAGTCTTAGACGAAACGGGTAAGGTCTATGTATTCTATTTATCTTGCAGACAAGGCAAGCACAGAAAACCAGTTTTCCAGTCGAAACAATGGAGAGTCTTTGTCAAGGAGAGAGGTATTGCTGCTGGCGATGTCATGTACTTCTGGGCTGAGGAAAATGCATTTCATCAAACACAATACAGAATTGCGCTGCTGAAAATGCTTTTTTCCTAACCACGTAACCAGACCTTCAAGAATATTATGGCCAACCTATTTTTACTAGTTATTCTTGCAATTTACTCTGGCTTTGTCCAGTTTGCTCGTTAGAGAGTGCCTAACTATGTTGGATAAATTAATGGGTACTGCTCTGCCCTATCTTGGCTTTGTTGTTTCTATCCTTTGTTCCCTGATGGATGCATATATGGCGTGCATGTTTTTGCATATATATTGCTGCTCCTGTAGGGGATTGTATCTTTTCGACTTAACGTTTGTGTTTGTTTATATAGTTCTACTTTATTTAAAAAGTTGTACAATTGGTGTTACTTCAGTGGTTGGGGTCCTTCCCTCCTCACTCTATGGAACCAGTTCGAAACCCACCAAGTGTGAAATTGTCTTAATAGAGTGAGTCAACATGTTTCGCACTATAATGTGTTTTTTCCCTTCAATATTTAATTGAAAAAAATCTCGAAACAGATAGTCCGTGTGATCACTATGACGTGCATATATGCCTAGGGATTTGGGCTGCCCAACTAGTAATCTGAACCATTGAAACAGTGAGAAACAAATTATAGAAGAAATATGGAATCTGGTGGACTTTAGTTTAAATGTTGCACGGACTACCATTCGTGCATTCTTATTCCCACAAAAGGGTAACTAACGAACTAAAGAATCCTTTGTAGATCCCAGCCAGGGGAATAAATGGAGGATTGAGCTAAATCGCCTTTTACCAACCAGATTACCCTAAAAAGCCGTTTTCTTTTTTGTTTGACTTTGTAAAGCAACTAATCCCACCAAGTGCTTAAAGGCTAAACACATAAAAATATGCCTCTCGAAAATAAGGCTATAATTTTATTTTATTCTCATGTCATGCTAGATTAACCCTAAAAACAGTATTGTAGGGCATCGGGTTAGAGTTTACACTGAAAACATAAAACTTAGCACTACAGTAGAAAGCAGCCTTTGGATTAACTAGACCGACAGCTTGGATTATAGCTAAATGATTATATTTTATGTGAGTCATGTCCAAGCTAACATGGTCTAGTCCTCTACATACGTGGTCTAACTAACTAGGGATGACAATTTTTTCTGCGAGTAAGGGTCTTTGCGGGACTTCGACCCTAATAGGTCGGATATGAAGGACAAAAAACAGGTATCAAGTATGGTGATTGAGGAGGGACGAGGATAATATTTTAATCCTCAACTCGAACCCGATCCGTTAAGAATATATAGATATATATATATTGTATATAAATATATTATTAATAATAGGAAATCTCTTCGACTTCAACTGTGCAAATATAGTACCAATAGGAAATCAAATCAGCGGACATAGGGCTATCTCTATAATAACAGGAAATCTTCTCTATTTATTTATTATATATAAATATATTATTAAAGAGATTTCATTATATTTCCCTAGTGTTGTTTATATATCTTACACCCGACATCTTGGGCTCTCTCCCACATAGGGTTGGACCACTTGCATCCTTCTTTCAAAGTCAAAGCAGTATATTATTAACATACTGCAAGCACCACTATTTTAGGTACTCGATTTTAACTTTTAACCATTAATATATATATATATATATTTTATTCTATTTTTAGTTTTTATATCATCTAACATAATCACTGTAGATAAAAATATATATTAATATATCACTAAACGTATATATTAGGCTTTAATTTAAATGTGGTGATGAGCTAAATTTATATTTTTGGGAAAGACGTACCCACTTTTTCATTCCAAAGCATGCTCTGACTTTGCATTGGAACATTCAAAACTAAGTCCAGGGTGTCCGCTTGACCAAACAAAATAATAATTTCCAGGGTGTCTCTCGGCGCTAGCGGCAAAGATATTTAACTTTCCAACCAAAAAGCAGACAAACAAATATTAAACAGTTCGTGATTATTAGCCGAAGCTTTGCCTCTTGTGATAACTTATGCACTCTTTAGCGTATGTTTACGTATCAGTAATGGATATGGGAGGAAATGAAATGATTTACATTCTTGACTTTTCCTACGTTTACTTGCAATTAGGAATGAAAAATTAAATGAGCCCTACCTCAAAATTCGTAATCACATCCCCTCAGAACTAGGTATCAGATCAACTAGGAGGGAGTAGTCGATACGATTCTCATTCATGTTTTCTCATAATAATTTCAAAAAAATATCCTTACCACTTTACCATAATTCCAAAACACCCCAAATCCTAAAATAAAAAATAAAAACTCACGCCAAGAAGTTCCAAGACACTCCAACTTTTTTTTTCACGTCAGCATTGTAAACACAACCTCCCAGAAGCAGCAACAATGCCTTGTGCTATGTAAATCATTCTATCTATCTATCTATCTATCTATCTATCTATCTATCTATCTATCTATTCTTATTCTTCTATCTTATGTCTTCATATTCATCACAAAACAAAGTACAATCATGGATAAAGACTTTTGTGGAGATTATATATCTCTTTTTTGGCAGTATGAAGATTATGTATTTAATCATATGAAGATTATGCAGGTTAATATTATTTGATTGTTTACTAGTTACGTAGGTGAAAAATATATATTTATTGGAGTTTATTTTTTCGTTTGAAATTGGCTTTGGACAAAGGTGTTATTAACATTGTCATTGAACTGGGCTCTTGTTCATCTTGTTCAGCATATTTATTCCTCATGTTTACATTGCCTTAGTAGAATGCCGTCGGATTAGTGTGGTTTCCTTAGCCAATTTGAGAATTATATATGTGTTGTGGTGAACATGTGCAGGGCATTTTAGTAATCAAATTAATTTAGATTCTGATTCATGAAAATTAGTAAACAATAACAATGGGAATCAACCTCATTCATTTGCTAATTCCATATGTTTAGTAAATAGCTTAATGAGAATGATTCTTCCCATACCGATTTAATAGTTCCTTGATTTCTAAATTCTCTGATTCCTTACTTTCTTCATTACTGATATATAAACATGCCCTTAATGTTACACATTAAATTAATATAAGATTTGATTTTCTCTCTCTCTCACAGCATATAATGCCAATATTATCAACTCAGACTCTGTTCAAGGATCTCATGACCAATTTGACGTACAAAATATACCTTTCATTTTTTAATTTATTGGACAAACTATGGACTTGGCAAAGAGAGACATAGGAGGGGAGGGGACACGTTTTATGTACGACACACGTTTTATATAAGACATCAATTTTTTATCATGAATAATTCCAGAAGACGACATCCATGTTCTTTTTTGATTCCACGTGAAATCTAGTCATGTCCAAGCTAACATGGTCTAGTCCTCTACATAAGTGGCCAACACTTTTTCATTCAAGTGGATCTAACTAATTAAAAAAAGAAAAAAGAAAAATAAATTAATACAATCCTCATCAATTTAGGTAATCATATGTTATTATATTTGGTTTATATAGGTAAAAAGTCACTTTTGGTCATTGTGGTTTATTATTTTTACCCCTAAGGTCCTTTGTGGTTTCAATTTAAACATTTTCGTACAAACAATTAAAGGATCAACAAGGGGTCCTTTGTGGTTTCAATTTAAACATTTTCGTACAAATAATTAAAGGGCAACTTGTTGACGTGAGTTTCCTAATTAAGGGATTTACTTTCCTATTTTATATAGTTAATAAATTATTGTATAATTAGGAGTATATCTAATTCTTTGTAAAGCTCTCATGTAAACTCTTATATATACCTCATTATGGAGAAGAATAATGTTAACATAACATATTCAAACCATATTCATATTTTAGCACAACTCTCAATTTCTGTCAAATTTTTTCAACTTCCGTCACTTGTGAAGGAGAAATTCGGTCAAATTATTAAAAAATTCATTCTCTCTCTCTCTCTCTCTCTCTCTCTCTCTCTCTCTCTCTCTCTCTCTCTCCTCTCTCTCTCTCCTCTCTCTCTCTCTCTCTCCTCTCTCTCTCTCTCTCTCTCTCTCTCTCTCTCTCTCTCTCTCTCTCTCTCTCTCTCTCTCTCTCTCTCTCTCTCTCTCTCTCTCTCTCTCTCTCTCTCTCTCTCTCTCTCTCTCTCTCTCTCTCCACAACCACCATCTATCAAGCCACTGCTTAATATCACCCACTCAGCAACCAACCCTTACCCACTCTCCCACCACAAAACTTCTCAACACACCCCACCTATCTCTATCTCTCTGTCTCAAGTCCAGCCCAAAAAATTGAGTGCAAGCAAAAGACCACATTGCTCATCATTTATTACAATATGGCCAATAGATCTGCAACCAAAAAAATAAAAATAAAATAAAATAAAATAAAATCGCTTCAACCCAGCTCACCCACCAAGAACTACTCCCATTTCAATTTTATTTTCACTTATTATGGCTTATTTGATGGTGTTTTTGAGAAACATAATTTGAAGTTGGGAAGAGTAAAATCTATGGCTATCTCCAAGTTATTAAAAATCAATTGATGAACAAAGCTGTATATTGGAGAATATCTAGTTATAGGTTATGGTGGTGGTTGAGGGATGATTAGCGAGCTGTGGTGGGGTGAGGTGGAGGGCCAAATCGGAGAGAGATAGAGGGATGAAGGGGGTCAGTGCGCTGGTGTTGGGTTGTCGATAGGGATGGGGTTGGGGTGGGTCACGGCTAGGGGTAGGGGTAGGGCTGGGGATAAGGTGCTATCAGGTGGTGGAGAAATGAAGAGGGAGAGATACAGCAGAGAGTGACGAAGGCTTCTAGGAAGGGGAGGAGAAGATATATTTTTTATTTATTAATTTTTCCATTTGTATTGTTTATTTTTAAAAGAATTATATATTTTAATAACTTGTTGACTAAATTACCCCTCCATAAGTAACAAAAGTTAAAAGAATTTGACAGTGAGGATTGTCCTTAAATTGCTTCAAATTGAAACCACTTTGACGAAAATGTTCAAATTAAAATCATAGAGACCTTAATAATAAAAATGACAAATCACAAAAACCAAAAGTGACTTTTCTAACTATTCGGCTTTCAAACTCCAACATCATTTGGTTTTCATGATTAAATTAATGACATTTTTTCTTGCATATAAATAAATTATATTTATCTCCATTTGATATGCTTCCTTTTTCTTTCTTCTTTCTGATTGTTTCGTAGACCTAAAAAGTTAGTCTGATGATGAATTATTGATATAAAGTGTCACAACATTCAAACCAAAAACGACAGAACCGTTTACTTGGGGTCAAGCCTCCCATCATTTGAATACCATATCGATTCTTAATCTAATAAAACAAATATCTGACGAAAGAAATCTATTAATTTTATGGCAAATAATCATTTATTAGACACCAAAAATTTGATTCGGAGCCAGATTAATCTTCTATGTTCTATTGTATTAGGAAAAACACCTTGTATCAGGTATTGACCTTTTAATGCCTCGATGTTATTAGGAGTGGTATTATTTATTATATGAGACTTTCTATTTTGTTAAGTTTCTAATGTGAGACTCATGTATTCTTCAATAGGTATATATATATTTTCCCATTTCCGTTCTCCAACTCTTGTCTGATACTAGTAATAACATTCCATTTTCTCTCATATTGACCTTTCAATTAAATATAATAATTAATGAAGTCATAAATCAGAAAACAAAATTTTAAGAACTGTGGAATAAAAAACACATAGCATAATTATTGTACAATTTAAAGGTTATTATCAATTTGAAATGTTGGCTATTTATGGTTATGAGTTTTGAACACCATAGTACTCAGTTTTACTGTAGCCAACAAGCTTTATCAAGGAATTAATGCAACAGAATAATCAACTGCAACTTTACTTACATAGGAGCTTAGATATTCAAGTCTTCTAAGTGAGTGATTTCAGTGAAGTTGGTCTTCTTTTGGACCAGTCAATGAATGAATGTGTGGAAATTTCAGGTCGACGGGCCGAGGGCCCACTCCAACAACACCGATACTGTCCCCACTTAACCACCTGCACAATCCTCAAGTGTGGGGTTTTATCACAAAAGGCCTCGGTATTAGTTAGAGTGGGGAAATTCTATTTAAAGCACTCTTTCTCCTTCCCTCTTTCCGATGTGGGACACAATTGGTTTCAACACTCCCCCGCACGTGAGACCCCATGTTGTGGGTCACACGTGGAGATCCACACATCGGCAACCACGTGGAGCCATGTCGGGACTCACCCATCACGCGGGGCCATGTCGGGACCCACCCAATCACGTGGCACCTTTGGGCCTACGTGGAGCCATGTCGGGACTCACCCATCGCGTGGGGCCAAATGGGGACCCACCCAATCACGTGGCAGAACGGGCCCGCTCCTGGCTCTGATACCATGTAGAAATCAGAGAAAAGGAAGAAAACAGAACAACACAAGTTTAATGAAGAGTTTGAGATTCTTGCTCATCATAAAGATATCAGTACAACAGGCTGCATATATACGCAAGCCTTTTACAGACGTTTAGAATTAATAAAGGCTTTTACAGTACCAAGACAATACAACTGTTGGAAGATGAAGAGTTTCCAGCAGCTATAAGAAGACGAGGAGTTTCCAACAACAGTTAATTACTTTAAGGATTTAGGGTCCTTAAAATACTTTTTGGGTATTGAAATTGCCTCCTCAAGCAAAGGTTTATTTCTTAATCAACGCAAGTATGTGTTGGATCTTCTTCAAGAAACAGGTATGTTAGAAACTAAACCAGTCATTACCCCAATTGACTGCAAGACCAAACTTGGTCTCGATGGAGATTTGTTAGCAGATGCTAGTTATTATCAAAGGCTGGTTGGGAGGCTTATTTATCTTACTATTACTCGTCCTGACATCTCTCACGCAGTAAGCTTAGTAAGCCAATTCATGCATTCTCCACGATCAACTCACTTGCAAGCAGTCAAACGAATTCTTCGTTACTTAAAGGGTTCCATTGGTCGTGGTATTTTGATGAGGAAAAATGGAACCAATCGAATTATAGGGTACTCAGATGCTGATTGGGCAGGGTGTCAAATTGATCGGAAATCCACCACAGGATATTGTACCTTCGTTGGAGGAAATTTGGTCACATGGAAGAGTAAGAAACAAAGTGTCGTTGCTCGTTCAAGTGCTGAAGCCGAATACAGAGCCATGGCTGCTGTCTCTTGCGAATTAATTTGGCTCCAGGGACTTCTCAATGATTTAGGCTTTAAAGACCCACATCCCATGACTCTCTTTTGTGATAATCAGGCTGCCATTCACATTGCTTCCAATCCAGTGTTTCATGAACGAACCAAGCATATTGAAGTTGATTGTCATTTTGTCCGAGAGAAGATTCAGTCTAATATAATTCGCACATCATACATCCGCAGTAATGAGCAACTGGCAGATATCTTCACCAAAGGACTTCCTTTAGCTCAATTTGAAAACCTTTTGTTCAAGCTTGGCTCAATCAATATTCTCGCCTCCGCTTGAGGGGGAGTATTGGAATATGTAAAGTAATTAACTGCTGTTGGAAACTCCTCGTCTTCTTATAGCTGCTGGAAACTCTTCATCTTCCAACAGTTGTATTGTCTTGGTACTGTAAAAGCCTTTATTAATTCTAAACGTCTGTAAAAGGCTTGCGTATATATGCAGCCTGTTGTACTGATATCTTTATGATGAGCAAGAATCTCAAACTCTTCATTAAACTTGTGTTGTTCTGTTTTCTTCCTTTTCTCTGATTTCTACAGAATGCAATTCCTTCTGCATATTCCCTTTTAATTAGTTCTGTGCACTCTACCAATTCTGGTATCAGAGCTTCTTCCCGTTCATGGGCAAAAACAAAAACCCCACCACCGACCTCTCGCTGCCTCGAGCCTCGAGCTAGCACCCATGATTATTTGGCTGGACAAATTCAAGATGATCAAGAATTGATTTCCTACATATCTTAGGCCAACAAGAAACCCACCAATCGTCATTAGCTCAACTCCAGAAAACCATGGATTCCTAGGCTACCTAAAAGCAGAACCCTTATAGTTTTGTATCCAAGATTTTCAATCAGTAAAGGGACTAGTGAGGATGATGGGTTTGATATATCAAAAACGAATATTTTAAGAAAGCGATGGAAATGGAAATGGAAAGACACAAATAGGTGAGCTGCGTGGCTGATAGAGTATAGGGAAGCCTTTTGTGTTTGGTAATCGAGATAGTTACAGGGCAATTCCCCTTTGGCAACAAAAATACAAACCGCAGTTCGCATAAAAGGATATGTCACGCCAAGGTGCACAATATTCTTGGCCTATGTATATGTATAAATATTAAACTTAAACCTAGCTAGCAGATAGAGCATGGCATATAGCGCCGGTGATCAAAGTCGCTAGCTTTTTGGTCATCATTTTGTCAGAGAGAGAGAGAGAGAGAGAGAGAGAGAGAGAGAGAGTTCCATGGAGCTTGATCGTTTTGAGAAGGTGTTGAAGGCCTCAGATGTTAAAAGACTTGTAGTGACCAGCACCATGCTTGCGATGCTACCTAGTGTCGATCCAGATTGGGATATCCCAATCAGAGTTTTCGACAACCAAAGGCATCGGGTTTACGAGTTCCAATTATCCGGCAGGCGACGGGGCAAATACACAAAGCCAGCTTTCCAGTCTAGAGCATGGAGAGTGTTTGCCAAGGACAGAGGCATTGCAGCTGGGGATGTGCTCTTTTTCTGGGCGGAGGAGGAAGACCCATTTCATCGAACTCAATATCGCGTTGCACTCTACAAGCCACATCTTTTCCCTTAACTTTAATTCTCAATGTAGTGTTGCAATCAGTTCTTGTAATTTGTAACGAGATTGACTCTCTCTCTTTTTCTGTTTTCCTCTTTGGTCAACATATATGTAAGTTGATTTTTTTAAGTTTTTTTAATCAATAATATTTTTATTTTTATTTTCTCTCAAAACTGATGGCGTCACAGCGATGACTTTAACTATCCATAAACCAAGGACTCAGATTACTGGATCCTTAATTTCTTTGACTGGGTGTCTTTAGTAAATCCCTGGAGCCCAAGAGGCCCAATAACCATCTTGACTAAAGTCAAACCCATATATAATAGTGGCATATGCATGAATGGAATGCGGCTATCCAAAACTGAGTTTTGTTTTATTTGTGTAAGAAAAGAAATACAAGAAAGAAAAAAAAATCACAAAATTGTTGTCTTGAAATTTTTGTACCAAATCAAGAATTAAGAGAACCCTTTTGTGGCTTAACCATTTCTTTATCACATTGACTCTCTCATCAACATTACTCACCTCCAACTGCTACCTTCAAATTTATAGTCAGTTGAATTATAAACAGTTTTAACAATTGTTGTCTTGCCTATTCTTTCAATCACCCATATACCTATCATGCGAACAATTGTTGTTGGATATATTATCAACAACATGATCTCGAGAAAAATTAATTAATCAAAACGTGTCTCAAAACAAGAACAGAACATGAAGCGCAATAAATTAAGGAAAACAATACCTTTGCAAAAATGTGATGGGCTCAATTGTGGAAATGGAAGAAAACCCACTAGAGAATGAAACCAAACAATAAATTGGACCCATGTACTCTTTTCATGCAGAATTGAAGAAACTAGTTCATGAAAAATATTTGGTTATGTAATATATAGATATCTTACATACCATTTATATTTATAAAAAATATATATGTTATTACATATCATCGTATAGAGTATATAGATGTGGGTTAAGCCATGGCAGCGTGCTTGCTCCCATAAATTAGAAGTTTAGAACATCACTTTGTCCAAAAAAATAAATTATCAATTTTAAATAGAGAACGAGATTGAAAAAACAACTTAAAAAGCTAGTAATAGCATGGTTAAAAAAATATACCCGTGCAAGAAATACCACCCAGACAACTTTGTTGCTTCTGTAAGAGCTGCCCTCCATCTCAACACCTTCTCTATGTTATCCTTGAATGTGCATTCATGATTAGTAATTGCCTCACCAAAACTACCTTGCTGGTCACGTACATCCAAAAGATCCACCTTGTAATAAATTGGCCAAACAATTTGGTTCTTTGATTCTCTACATTGGAGGATCTTAACCAGTTCAATCAAGCACCACTCGGAGAATGCAAAATTTTCAGTGAATATGATGATTGAAACCCTTTATTCTTCAATAACCTTGAGAAGCATTGGCAATGGAAGTTCGTCTCCTCTTCTATAAAGGTAGGTTTTTATTCCTTGTTGAAGCAACTTGCTATGCAGATTGTATGTAAAATTGTTGTGTGCGTCGGCGCCTCTATAACTGAGAAAGACATCATATGCCAATGAATGGGTGAAAGAAGAAGAGGAAGAGGCTCGTAATTGAGTGGTGACAGAACCCATAGTGTTTGATCGTACAAGAGCTGAAAGAATTGGGAATGTTACTGAGAAGGAGTAGTGAGAAGGAGTGGGAAAATGGTTAGCATTAGAGTATTGCTAGTCAAAGCCCTGCACTGATACCCGAACTAATATTTCTTCCATCATTGTCTTTTCAATCAGAGAAAATGATGTCATAAATCAGAAACAAAGAGTCAAGAATGGAATCCAAATCACTTCAATCCTAGAGCAAAAACTGCATCCCAGTTCATGCTACAATTCAAATTCAAAACACAACAGAACAACAAATTGACTTGCATATAACTTTAAATGCCCCTGCAGGCCTAAGAGGATAACATTTTCATCATGCCTAATGAAATCGAACATACTCAACTATATTGAACAAATGCACTGAGAGATGCCATGCCACCAACTAATAATCCTTAAATTTTAAGGAAGACTGCCACAAGGCTACCACAACACTCCTCACCTCCTCAATTCATCTCTTTCCATTTTAGCCTTGTCAACAAGCTCCCAAATGCAAACTAAGGGTTGCTTGGTGACAAAATCTCTGGACAAAGGCTGGTGAGTAAAAGGGTCCATTGTTCAAGCAGCCCTACAAAATATATCAGTAATACGTTCAATTAAATGTGAATTTGTTGATCTGATATAAGAGCTACAGCTGTGCTCTAATATAACTAGCGTGTAGTTTGTTTATAAAAATATAAAAAAAATAAAAAGAATGAATAACTAGCTTAGAAATGAATTTAGCAATCAGTTTGCAATTACCATATCAATAAAATAAATTTTGATCTCAGCTGACTTTTGACTTAGAATTGAATTTAGTAATTTTTTATTTCATTTCATTCGAGAAGCAATTCAAGCCAAGGAGATAGAACTTGTCTACTGCAGAACTGAGGAGCAAATTGCAGATATTCTGACTAAAGCTTTGCCTAAGGACAGGTTTCCATACTTAAGGGAATTACTTGGTGTTAAGTCGGCTAAAGGATTAGAAGGGAATGTTGGTGTGTAATCCTTCAGCCGAGTCTTTGAAGCTAAAGGAATTGTGTCTGCTCTGTTTCTTTATTTCTTTTAGTTGTTTATTTTTTTTCTTCAGCTTTGTTGTGCACCCTTGGATCACAGTCCAAGTGTTTTAATCTCTAGCATAGGTTTAAGTGACATGTGTAAGCATCTAATAGGATGCTAGAACTTGAGCTTATTGTAAATATGGTACAGGGAAGAATATCTCTTTTTCTTCTCTTTGCCTAAACGATTATACCCAAAACAGATTGAACTGATATGAAATACACAGAAGCTTTATTCATTTTCTTTAGAGCAACGTTCTCTCAATCCTTTTGTGCTTTTTCCTTCTTTGCTCCCAAAATATCCAAAACATGAAATGCTGAAACTAAGAATTCTAACAATAGGGTTATCTGAACCATGTCACAGGTAAGCATGGCAACAACAAGCATGGATTATGAAAAGGATAAATCAGTTACAATAAAACACTGTGGTTTTTTTTTATGTGTTCAGATTATCAAAAGGTTTGGTCACTAATCTAGTAGGAATACAAAAATAGGATGATGATCTTGCTTACCGTAATTGATCTCCGATAGGATCGCTTTAAGGAAAAAAATATACGTGTTCCTGATAGCTAGCTTGGTCCTCTGATCTGCTAGTGAAATATAATAAATTACATATCACAAAACTTTATAATTAGTGCAAACAAATAATAATGGTTTTGATTGTTGTCTCATGTTGGAAGTACCTGGAAGGAGAGCACGAGAACGGGAGGCGTGGGCTATGATCTGGATTTGCTCTATGCACGTGGTCTTGAATCCGAATGTAAGGGATGTGCGCTATGGAGGGCCAATATCTTCCTTTACTTGGTTTGCATCTCTCTTCTAGCAGCGGACAGTGATAGATAGTAAGTTGTGTAAGTGATAGAGGAAGACTCTCCTCTGCCATTGATGCTAGCTTAGGGCACCCCTCGATGTGAAAAGATTGAAGACAGTTGAGGAGTTGAAAGCCGTTGCTGAGTTTAACGAGATTCGGGAAGTCCTGAATTGTAAGTCGAATGAGAGATTTAGGAAGCACCATCTCTTTCTCAGGAGGGAAGAACAACACGTCTGGGTCTTTGCCGCGAATTTCCAGTTCTCTAAGAGAGGTAAGCCTGTGCAACCCCAAGTCCAAGAGTGCCTTACAGCTCTTGAGATTATAAATTGTAAGCTGTATTAAGTTAGGGGGAAAACCATCTTCTAGAAACGGCGTGAAACCTTCGCAACAAGAAATGCTCAATATCTGAAGAGAGTTGAGGTCATGTATGCCTTTGGGTAGTGCCTTCAATTTGTTGCAGTAGCTGATGTCGATCTCTCTTAGGTAGGCAGCGCTTTGTGGCAACCCTCCTTCGGGGAAGAAAACAAGACTTGCACAGTCATAAATACCTAACTCTTGAAGATTGGTGAGGTAGCATAGGCCTTCCGGTAAACACTTGAGATTTGTACAACGCGAGATCTTAATTTCTTCAAGGCAAATGTTATGCTTGAACCTATTGGTTATTGTCTCTAGCTGTTCACAATCGCTTATGCGAAGGTGTTTAAGCATCCTGGGAAGATGGTCTTCGAATGATAAGGACGTCAGCAATGGACAATCCTCTATACTCAAGTACTCAAGACAAGATTCCTCTTCTTTCACCAGGTAAGGAGAAGAGGATGACGAAGAACCCTTTACCTCCTCTTCCTCCAGCAGTGATTTCAAATTTTCGCATAACATAATATCCATTCTTCTTAGATTTGGAGGTATTCGGTATCTTGCAAAATACACAAGAGAACTGCACCGCTCAATTTTTATTTCCTTGACAAAAGGTGGCAAAAGAAACTCTTGAAAAGAAATCAGACTTGGGCAGTCATATATGTGAAGCTCTTGGAGTGATACAAGATTTTGAACAAGATGGAGGTGAGGGTTGTCTCCAATAACCAAACAATGAAGAGAAATCAGGTCATGGAGCAATTTATCTTCATTCTGCCATAAAGATGTGAGCTCATCACAACCGCTAATAACCAGATCATTAAGCTTTGGTAATCCTCCCATGAAATCCTTTATTTGGAGTTTGAACTGTGCAATACTTGAAAGCTGCAAGGCCTCCAATAACTCAAGCTGAACTTTTATATGGACCACCCTTTTGCAATCATCAATATCTAATTTCTGAAGTTGTTTATAGTCAGAAATTGAAATCACCAACTGCTCACATCCACGAATCACAAGCTTTGACAGTGAATCAAGGTTCTCGGGTAACCTGCCCTCCAATTTGGGGCATTTGGATATGGAAAGCATTTTCAGGCAAAGGAAAACTCTAATTCCTTGATCTTGATCTTGTTCGTATGGAAACCACTCCCTCCAATGTTTCATATCCTCAAATTCAAGGATCTCTAACAGTGGAAAAGGCAATCTAGCCATTCCATAGAACTCAAGACCCACTGCATACAATCCTTTTATAGAGAGCTTTTTGAGAGATGGCAATTGTCCAAGTGATGGCAAGAGACAGCAATGGTTGCAACCCTCTAAGCACACCGTTGTCAAGCTAGAGAGTAAAGGATGTCCAATCCATTTTGAAAATTCCAAACCACCGTATCCCTTGATGCTGAGCACTTTGAGCTTCCTATGAGGTTGTAACATGTCGAGCACGTCGGATTCTTTTTCTCCTAAGCCATTCCATTCTAGTAGCAATACATCAAGCCTGGCCTTGCTAATTAAGTCCCCCCTCTTTACATCCTCAATGTCATTCACATTCTGCAATCTTGAGAGGCGCAATGTCCCCTGGAGATGCAATAGGGGCTCTACCTCTCTTATACTCGACTTGCTACCTTTGCTCACCACAAAATTATGCAATGTTTTCAAATTCGTCAATTGACCTAGTTGTGCAGGCATTCCTTGCAATGAAGGTGTGTTTGCATTGTTGAGATGACGCAGATTAATTAGGTTCTTCATGTTTGCAGGTAGTGCCTTCAAACTATAACAATTCTCTAATATCAACGTTTGTAAGTTGCAAAGTGTGCTTATTGAAAGAGGCAAACTCGTTATTTCCGTGTGAGAAAGATCTAGGTATCGGAGAAACTTCAACTCACCAATTGAATTCGGCAGCTTGATTAGTCGATAACCATTCAAAGAGAGCACTCGTAAGTACTGCAACTTTGGCAATAACTCAAAAGTAACCCTACAAGTCAAATAATTACATGGATCCTGTGAAATTGAAAGTGGTAGAAAAGTCCGCAAAACTTTTGCTTTAGCAAACGCCTCAAATCTTTTGACTCCATCATATTTACCAGCAGTGTAAGACAAATGACGAGTCTTCGGAGACCATCTACCGTCCAAGATATCCTCCAATCTTAAACAGGTTTCTCCGGAAACCCTTTGTGCCAAATCACTAATGAGGTGGTGCATCACATATCTTGAATCTTGTTTGCTTGATTTTTGAAATAATGACCTAGACACAAGCTCTTGAAAATACTCACGGCCTACGTCTTCCAATTGTTCATTTTCTTCTGTTTTCTGAATCAAATCTTCTGCCATCCATAGAAGGATCAACTGTGTCTCTTCAAATTCATAGTCATTTGGAAGTATTGAGCAATAGGCAAAACACCTTTTCAAAGTTGAAGGGAGATAATGGTAGCTAATTTTCAATACTGGGAGAATTCCACTCTTATCAGATAGAAACCACAATTTGTTGTTCAATATTCCCTCCCATTCATTTATTTCTTTACAACCTAAAAGACCACCAAGAGTCCTTGCTGCCAAGGGCAACCCACAACATTTTGCAACAATTTTCTCCTGAAGTAATTCATACTTCGTGGTCTGGAGCTTTCTTCAATATTAAAAAATGCATGTTGCACAAATACTTTCCAGCAATCACCATTTGACATACCGCTCAAATTGTGAACTTCAGTGGATCTCATCATTCTTGGAACTTCTGCATCACGTGTTGTCACGATTATCTTACTTCCCAATGCTCCAACACAAAAGGGGGATTGCAGCGTTGTCCATAGATTATAGTCACATGTATTCCAGACATCATCTAAAACAATCAGAAACTTTTTTCCTGCCAATGCTTTGCTCAAATTGTTCTGAATGTTACTGAATTCCTCCAAATCACAGCGTCCGGACGTGACTGATTCAAGAATTGCCTTTGTTACTCTTACAACGTCGAATTCATCAGACACGGATACCCATGCCTTAAGATCAAACTGTTTCAGGACATCATCCTCATTGAATACATATTGAGCCAGTGTTGTTTTTCCAACTCCAGGCATGCCAACAATCGCAACTACTTGAAAATTGATAGCATTAGGCTCATAGTTTCTTGACAACAATTCAACAATCTTTGCTTTGTCACTATCTCTTCCAACAACAGGCATTCCATTCAGAACACATGAACTTGGTGGCCTTGGCCAAGGCTTAGTGGAGGAAGATCCAATACCATCTAAACTTAACCCAAGTTTATCTTTTCGTTCAGATATGGCTTGTAGCCGATTGGTAATCTCCTTTATTTCGAAGTTCATATTAAAGTGGACTTCAAATCTAGGAATTAGGCTTCGTACCTTACTTGTTGTAGCCCCACGTTGTTCATCCAACTTGCGCCGTAACATCTCAGTATAAAACTTGTCGAGGATGTCTTCGATATCATAGGCCAAGTCTTTGAGATCATCCAGCCACAGCTCTACTGCACTGCTCGTTAGTTGCTTCTTCTCTGCATCACGAAGCACTAGTTCAATTGAAGACAACATTTCACTCCATTTCTTCAGTTTTTTGCCAACACCGTCCGCGAGGAAGTTGAGTGGAGTCAATAACCTGTCCAGCAGAAACCGAAGGAGTGCCCCAAGAAAGACCTCTGCTACTGCTACCATGTTTTCTCTTGTCCAAAAGGAAGCAATCAAGATTGTAATTTGTAAGAATGAAGAGTTTCAACCGATCAAAGAAGTAAGGAGTTCTTCTGTGAAAGCATGATTTCAAGATTCAAGTCTCAAGATATTGAGTAATATGAACAAAAAGTCAATGAGTTAGACGGGATGGTTATGATCGATGGGGTCGATTGGGTGAGACTGTTACCGTGTTTTCATTTTATTTTATTTTATTTCTAGCTAGGTACCTTGTTTTTTCCAATGAACTCAATACGTCTCTTGTCATATACAGTTTTCTGACCAAATAAAAAATTTAGTAATTTACAATTATTCATACTTTTTAAATACTTTTTGGTGGTGTTATTGTTTACTTTGCGTCAAATACACACATATATAATAGGGAGCTTTTTTTGAAAAGACACAATAAGAACTTTAATATTATGAAAGACACCACCTGTCCTCTAATCAATGTCTTTTGTATATGATATAGTCAATATTACATATAATAATTTGTTCAAAGCCTTACGTATATAAAGAGTTAAGTGGAGTTCCTTCTACGTAGTTTCTCTTTTTTTAAATAAGGTCAAATTTCACTCTTTGTCCATGTAATATGCCTAGTTTTCGTTTTTGGTTGTTATATATTTGATTTTTGCAATCTTACCTTTCTAAATTGCATGTAGCAATTCAAAGATAAATCCCAAAATTATGTTAATTTGGTATACAAAGAGGCACTTCACTTGCACATGTCAAGGCATTTCTGCCCTTTGCTTTCTGTTTTCCCCGCATTCATGCTCCAAACCCTCAAAATTTTCCACCAATTTTTTGCCATCCAAACCAAAATATCACTCTAGTATTTCCCCAATCTTTAATTCCACTTCAAATTGACGAAAAAAAAAAGGAGAAAAAAAAAGCAAGTAATTGGCAGAGGTTTTAAAACAAGAAAGACTAAACGAGGACATCCCCCTAAACCCAAAAGCATCCTCAGCCTCAACATATACCAAGTGGCATTCAATTCAACAGTACATGAAGAAGTAGTTTTTTCTTTTTTCTTTTTTTTTAAATCTACAAACATGGTTAATCTTGCCCCTACAATCTTCTTTTCTTTTCAATTCTCTCAGGAAGTAGTTAATCTTCCTGTTCCTCATAAGAGAGAGAGACATACGTGTTGTTGAATTTTCTCTAACACATTTGCCAAAAAAAACAGCTCCCTTCAAATGTATAGGCAATTAAATTATAAACAGCTTTAGCAATGAGACCTAAAAGCACAGTCATATATTGTACTTTGCTACTGTCAAATAGGTACTTTTAATATTTGTGTCGAAATCTCTTCTAACAATGTTATGAATGAAATCAGATTCGTCCTGCCAGTAGAAAGCATATGAAACATTAGTTAAATTACGTTAGTGAAATGAAATCAGATTAAAATTCCAGTTCACAAACTATGAATTTTTCAAAATAAAAGTAGTCGAACAGAATTGAAACAAAACATGCTCTTGTAATTTTTTCAAACAAAATTGAAGGAATTAGTTTGAAGTCATATCTTCATGAAAACAATTGGGTTAATCTTAATTATGTAATACTAGCCTCTCCGCAGGCGCGATACTTTTTTCAAACAAAATTGAAGGAATTAGTTTGAAGTCATATCTTCATGAAAACTATTTGGTTAATCTTAATTATGTAATACTAGCCTCTTCGCATGCGTTTCCGCGCTTTTTTGTTGTTGTTGTGTGTGTTTTAAATTTTTAAATTTATTTTAAGAATTAAAAAAGATAAATGGGTAGTTGTGATCCATAAAAATATGATCCATTATTTGATTTTTCTTTTAATTTTAATTTTTTTTAAATATGAAAAAATGTAAATTTACCATATTATCCTTATTTACCAAGGGAATTTTCTGGTATTTGGAATGTTTCACCATTCTTTGCCTTTTGCTTTATATATATAGATAACGATATCATATTTCATATATTTGTTGTTTGAAGCAACCCAAAAAGTATCGCTGTCGCTAAAAGGCCCTAACCCAATAACAGATTTTGGTTCACCCCTTTCTCTATCTCTCTGCAACTGCAAGCCCTACTGTAAAACTATGGAGGACCATTATATGCTCGGAAGTTCGGAGGAGACACTCCGCAACCAAGGACGTGAATATTGAGAAATAATAATTAAAACACAATTACTAATGAAAGTATTTAAATAAGTAGTTGATATTATCAAATAAGTTTCAGAGGTGCAGATACCGGGGACTTTTACTAGCCATTTCAAAGCTGCTTTAGGTCGCAAGAAAATTGAGACCTACAAGGATGACAAACTTGGGATGGGGGACAAAATTGGACTTGCCCTCTTGCAAGAGATCCAGAAATCAAAGGTTTCGTTAATCGTTTTCTCAAAAAAAGATTGGAATGCAAAAAAAGATACGGACAAATTGTCATACCCATTTTTTACGGCATAGATCCATCACAGGTACGGAAACAACAGGAGAGTTATGCAGATGCATTTGCTCAATTTGAAGAACGTTTCGAGGACAACATGGACAAAGTGCTCATGTGGCGAAATGCGTTGAAGGAAGCAGCCAATATGTCTGGCTTTGATAATTCAAAAAGAACAGGGCAAGTCTTTGTGACCATTTCATTCATATTTATATACAAGAATCGTTAAGGGGTAGTTTACTAAATATTATTATTAATGAATATTTTTTGATTTAATTCATATCTGCTACTAAATATTATTCTTTGTTCTTCATGATCATATTTTTTTCAGGACGGAGGCTGATTTCATTGAGAAAGTTGCCGAAGATGTTTTGACCAAACTGAATCGCACATCTTCTTCAAGTGATTCCGTGGAATTGGATGCATTTCGATTAAGGCAAATTGAGGAAATTGAATCGTTATTATGCATTGATTCACCAGGTGTGTGCACTGTAGGAATTTGGGACAAGAATTCGCTGAGAAGCCTTGATGATGAATTATTTCACCGGCTGTCTTGTCAATTTGAAGCTACTTGTTTTCTTGCAAATGTCAAGGCTAAAATCTAGTTTTGGAATACTAAAATACTTGGGTACCAAAACTAAATTTCCAGGATTTTTATTAAAATATTTAATACTAATTATTCACTACAGAAATAATAATTAAAAACACAATTACTAATGAAAGTATTTAAATAAGATATTATTTAATTACTAAAAAGAAACTTTTTTAAAAAAAGTTAAAAAGAATATTTTACGAGCATAGCCGAACGGCTATACTATTCCATTTAAAGAGTAGAGTCGGGCGACTGTTCTCTACAAATAGAATATTTTAAAAGTATAGCCGGTCGGCTCTACTATACTAACAGAATATTTTCACAGTATAGCCGCGCGGCTTTACTTTAGAAATAGAATAGAATATGTTAGAGGTATAGTCGGTCGGCTTTACTCTGTAAATAGACTATTTTAAAAGTATAGCCGCGCAGCTATACGCTTTAAATAGAATACTTTTGAAGTATAGCCAAGCGGCTATACGCTTTAAATAGCATAATCATGATTTATCTTTTCTAATTACTTTATTTAGTAGTTACGTTTTAATTATTACTAGTCTCTCTACACGAGCTTCAGTGCCTGCAAGATGCCTTTTTTAGAAAATTTATTTTAAAATTAAAAAAGATAATGGATAGTTGTGTTCCATAAAAAATTGGATCCATTGTCTTTTTTTAAATTTTTTTAATTTAAAAAAGTATGAATTTACCATATTACCCTAATTTAATTAATAATTTCAATTTTTAATGTTTGCATTAACTAAGGGCATTTTCTAGTAATTTGAATGTTTCACCATTCTGTGCCTTTTACTTTATATATACTAGCATCTTTGCATGCGCTTCAGCGCCTGTGAGAGGTTTTTTTAAAAAAAATTTAAATTTATTTTAGAATTAAAGAAGATAATGAGTAGTTGTATTCCATAAAAATAGGATCCATTATCTGATTTTTCTTTTCATTTTAAATTTTTTTAATTTGAAAAAGTGTGAATTTACCGTATTATCCTCATTTAATTAATAATTTTGATTCTTAATGTTTGCATTAACCAAGGACATTCTTTGGTATTTTGAATGTTTCAACATTCTCTGACTTTTGCTTTATATATATGGATATATATATATACTAAATATTTTATTAAATTAAAGATACTTAACTGATTTTTTTTTATAAACAAAATTATAAAAAAAAAAAAAAAAAAAAAAAAAAAAAAACAAACTCCCCCCCCTTCAGACGGAATAGATCGGGCGGATCTCCGATCCCGACAAATTTTTGCCGGATTAGACCTCTCCTGACGACCGTTCATTGGCAAAGGTGAGTTTCGTGGAGAGAGGTCTAATCCGGCAAATATTGCTAGCATAGACCTGTGCCGAAAACATTTCATTGGGAGAGATTTTTCTTGCTTTTTTATTTATTTATAAAATTTAAACATATAAAATTAATTTCTTTACTTTTATTTTTTGGCCAACATCTTTAATTTAATATATGGAATTAAGTAATATCTTAGTATTTTTTAATTATTATTTAATTAGTGAATATTTAAATATTTTATTTATTTCATAAATTACTTAATAAATAGTAATTAATCATTCTAAATTATTTTGTGGACTATGCTTTTTATTTTATTTTTCTACAAAATTAGTTTGGGTAAATCCAAGTTCCACTCCCCTAGGCCCACCTTGCATATAGCACGTGTCGGAAGACTCCTACTTATAAAGAGTTGATACATTCTCTTCTTTTCCAATGTGGGTCTCAAGTTCATGTATTTCAATCAAGCGCCAACAAGTAGTTGATATTATCGAATCACGTTGTGACTTGGATATAAGTTTTGAGGCTAAATTCCATTTTTCGAATACTAAAATACTTGGGTACCAAAACTAAATTTCCAGAATTTTTATTAAAATATTTAATACTAATTATTCACTAAAGAAATAATAATTAAAACACAATTACAAATGAAAGTATTTAAATAAGGCTAAGATATTATTTAATTACTAAAAAGGCAACTTTTAAAAAAGAAAAGTTAAAAAGAATAGTTTAAGAGTATAGCCGCATCGGCTATACTATTCCATTTAAAGCGTATAGCCGGTTGGCTGTCCTAAACAAATAGAATATTTTAACAGTATAGCCGTGCGGCCTTAAGAATATTTAAAAAGTCTTGCCGCACGGCTTTACTCTATAATATGGTATAGCCATACGGCGTCACTCTGTAAGTAGATTATTTTAACAGTATAGCCGCCCGGCTATACTCTTTAAATATCATAATCTTGATTTCTCTTTTCTAATTACTTTATTTAGTAGTTATGTTTTAATTACTATTTACTTAGTGAATAATTAGTATTTATATATTTTATTAAATTAAAGATACTAAACTGGTATTTTTTAAAATTTTAAAATAAATAAATTATAAAAAATAAAAAAATAAAAAAATAAAAAATAAAAAATAAAAAAACTCCTGTAACGAAAGTTTGCCGGATTAGACCTCTCCTGACAACTTCGTTGCCAAAGGTGAGTTGCATCAAGAGAGGTCTAATCCGGCAAATATTGCAGGCATAGACTTGTAACACATCGTACTTTTGTGGAGGGGGTGATAAGCCTATATTTTATATATTTTTTATGTCTCCTTTGCTTATTTATTTGTTAATTTCCTTGGATTAAATTGGTTGTTTTTAATTGGCTTTGTGAGATTTGTAAAGGAATTGTGAAATAGGAGAAAGTGTGCTAAAAAGGGCAAAAAGATGAAAATTGGAGATTAATTAAAAAGAAGCCAAGTCATTCTTTTTGTTGCAAGGAATGTTATCAAATTTCCTAGTTCAAGATGGTTCAAGTCTTATCAAGTCAAACAATGAGAAATAAAGAAGACCTTATATTAGAAGGAATCCTATTTTTATAACAATTGTAATTATACCTTAGGTAGGATTTCTAGGAGTTTTATAAATAAGGAATTTAGGTCTTTATTCAAATCCTCCATTACCCATCATCCATCCTCCATCATCTACCATCAAATTCCTACACATTCATACTCATAGCCGAAACACTCAAATGAGAGAGAGAGTTTTAGAGAGACAAAGAAGACGACCTAGAGCTAGAGTTGTTGTCGTGCAGAGATCAAATCTTCAATTGGTTTTTCCTTTCCTATGATACTATTTATCATGGTTTTTATTAAAGTTGTCATGAACTAATTTCTTTTTGCTAGGGCTACGATATAGCCTAGCCATGAATACTCAATTACTTTAGTCAATGTTAATTCCAAGTATTTTTCCATGTTGAGTATCTATTACTATGCTTAATGCTTTGAATGTTTGGCCAATATTTAATTATTTTGATGCTAAATTGATGATAGGGATATCCAATTTGGGGTTGCTTCTTGTAATAAATGCCATGAGTTACATTAGGAGTGGGCACGGTTCGGTTTGGACCGGTTTTTGCCTCAAATTAGAACCGATCTAATACTATTCATCCGGTTTGGTTTGGTTCGGTTTTATTAAAAAAAATTCAAAAAATGTCCGGTTCGGTTTGAACCGGTTCCGGTCTGGTTTCGATTCCGATTCGGTTTGAATTTGATTATAAAAATTATTATTTTTAAATTGTTTTTTTAATACAATTCTCAACTGAAATATTATTATTTTTACTTGAAAATTAACAAATTATTCAATTTCATATAAAAATAAATATTAAAGTTAGAAAAGATAGATGTTTTGAAATTGAACTTGGATAAATATTAGGTTTTTTTAGTGAAATTAAAAATATAGCATTAAATATAAATATATTGAAATTATATATATTTTTAATTTGACCGGTTCGGTTTGGCCCGGTCTGGTTTTTGAAGACATGGAACTGAATTCGGAACCGGTCCAAACTGGTCCGGTTCAATTTTTTACCGTTGTTGACTTTTTGGTCAACTCGGTTTTTTTCCGGTTTGGTTCGGTGCGGTTCGGCTCGGATTTCCGGTTCGCCGGTTTTAAGTGCCCACCCCTAAGTTACATGATTAGACAGGGATGTTTGTCATGACTTATGTGGTTGTTTTGTAGGTTTTGCAAGGAATTTAATGGGTTCTTATTATCTTAATTCCATTACTAGGGATAGAATGGGTTGGTAATAAGAATACTTTTGGTATAACCAGAGATGAAGTATCGAATAAAGTAGGGAAAATCAACTGTCAACATGGAGAACAATTAGAATTAACATGCCAAGGGAATTAGGTAGAATTTGCTATGGTGAAATCGGAAGCTCTAGTGATCTCATAACTTTAATCTCACTACTTTATTTTCTACGCTTGCTTTTATTCATTGTTTTAGTTAATTAATCAATCGAATCTCATCATCAATTGTTCAAATAAAGTCTTGGGTTAATCACAATCGGTACTTAGTAAATTAAATCACTCTTCATGGGAACAACACTTCACTCATCACTGTATTACTTGTGTGAATTGTGCACTTGCAATAAATTTCTCAACATGGGGAGTAGCAAAAGGAGGAGGAGGAGAAGAAGAAGAAGAGGATGAAGCCATATAAAAAACCTACAAACCCTACAAGAGTATTCAAAAGGATTGAAGCCTATGCACCTTAGAAATGAGGCTAGCTAGCTAATATATAATATTTAGCAGAGATAAACACGTAAAAATGAAATTACCAAGGACTGGAACAGCTCAAATGAAATGAGTGAATAAATCAACTCTTGATGGCTTGTGGAAGAGATACCGGCACCCCCCGGCCTTTAAATACCTGGCAAATGGGTGGTTTTAATGGGTTTTGGGGTTGTGTTC